GGATTCCTCAGAATGCATAGTGACTGAAGCAGGCTGTTTTCTGGTAAATGCAATTTGGAAAGGAAAACTAAATCATGCAGTTATTCATATCTTGACATGGTTTGGAAGGCTGAGAAAGATTGGTTGGTCACATGGCAATAGAACTTCATGAATAGCTTGTAAGATGCTTTGAAAGTGTACTTAGGAGAAGGGAGTGAATCACAGTGCAGCGATAAATACTAACAAAGTATAAGAAGGCAATGGAATTTGTTATTTGTTTATTTCCTTGCAGTGTGTGGGGATGGCATCTTAACGCACTAAGAAAAATTCTGGCTATTTTCTTTCCAGCCTTGTCTTTAAAAATAACTGCATTCGGTTAAACGGTGTGCCTTGTAGTCCAGGTACAAAGCCAAGATTTCAGACTGTAGCCTTGATTACGTGGCATGGACTGTTTGCATACTCCCGCAATGTGCTCCTTTCCCTTTCTTTCCCTTGTTGCAAAAATAATGTGCGTTAGGGCTCCAGTCCCACTTCAGGGGCTCAGACAGCAAGCATGTACAACTAATTTGTGATTATGAGTTCTGTTTTCTTGGCATACTGTAGACCCTGATATCCTATGTATAGGTCCCTGTACCCTTGAAAATGTAGTTGTGCAACGGGGCTTGGGTGGTGTCATACTCTTGCCTGAGCTTGGGGACCCTCACCCTGGGAGACCTGAGCTGCAGTTGCGCTCCTGGGCCAGTGCATTGGGCAATTTGACCACTCTTCTTTGAAACACATCCAAATGTTTGATGCCCGGGTCCGGCTGTCCCAGCCTAGGCAGCACATTCAGCTTTGGTGTACTGTATTCCCGCCGGCTCTTCTTTTGGTCTCGCGTATCTGGCATAGTGCTAGATGGAGGCAGTGGGCGTGAGCTTGGGTGGACTCCGAGAGATGGTGGAGGACAGGAGAGCCTGGAGGAATGTTGTCCGTGGGGTCGGGCATGACTTTGCGACTAACAACACCAAATCTGGTATAGCTGTGCCTTCGCTCCACATCTCCTTTCTTGCTTTGCCCATGTAGGATACCTCCTATGAATTTTGACGGCCTCTTTTTGCAAAGTGCAGATCAAATGGATGAGGCAGATGTTGTCCTGTGTCCTTTCTGTACGTAGGCTCAGAGTTCTTACACCTGTGTCATGGGCTTTCCTAAGGAAGTAGGTTAGCTGCCTGGGAGGAATAAATTTCTCTCTGAGAACCTGCAAAAGCACCATCCATCTAATGGACTCCTTTGCAGACCTTTTCTGGAGCAAGTGCCACTGCAGGAATATAATTTTATATCCCCATATGCTTGTGAAAAAGAGGTTTTGTGAAAGCATTCTGCTAGGCACATGCTCACATAGGCAAATATCACGTGACTGAGTGTCCAGGGAAATGTATCCTCACTCCCATCATTTTCCTGTGCACAACTGCATGTGGTTTTGCCTCCTTTCATTGGGCCACTTTATCACATGCAGGGTAAAACTGCCTCACAGTGATATTTGCCCCTCAAAAGAGGCTGGTGGTTCACTCTTGGTGGGGCAGTGTATCCACCCTGGTTTTCAGCCTGAACTTCAAAGGAGCTGTCCATGGTGTTGAATTCTGCTTTCAACATAGCTGCTGAACTTTGGATATGGATACATACTGGAAACATCAGTCTCAATTGGAGACAGGCTGTTGTACTGTGGGGCAGAGCAGCATTTCCCAGCTTTGTGCCTTCTAGGCACTTTTGGGCTGCAACACCCAGAATTCCCAGTCAATGGCCCTGCTGAATGGGAATTCTGGGAGTTGTGGTCCAAATGCCTCTGAAGGCCACCAGGTTGGGGAAGGCTGGGATAGAGGAAAGCTCAGGCGTTTCATTGTTATATCTTGAGAAATTTGGAAGGGTGGTGCAGTGCAAAGCAGTTCAGGAGCTCTCATGCATTTCATAGCCACAGGCAAGAAGGTTATGACTACAGGTGCAGCTTCCCCCATCTCTGCATTACAACCCGCCACCTCTCAGACTTCCCTCTTGTGCAAAATGTTAATGACACACAAAGGAAATCTCTGTTCTCCTTTCCTCCCTTTTGGAATAATACAGCATGGAAACCACTGGCCGGTGACTTGTTTGTTGTATGGCGAAATGCATCAAAGCCTTTGGTTTGACTTCTCAAGACAGAGAAGGCTCAGCAATTACAATCAATTTATACCACCTGGAACCCATTTTATCCAAGTCAGCTTTTTCTTCTCCTTAAGTTCTATAGATGAAGGTTGTTGGCAGTGGCCTGTATAACTTGCACCGTCAGCCAACAGCTTCTTTCTTAGACGACCGTGGTGATAATGACACACTCTTCCGTATTTATCACTGAAGGTATGCCCGTGGTGTTAATTGCCTTTCTAAAGGCCTGGGCAACATTTTTCACATGTTGTTTCTGCCTTATTGTGATGGAGGATGGTTGACATGAATGGTTCAGCTCTGAATTATCACAAGTTTCCCTTTCTGCATCTCCCCCTGCTCCCCACTCCCATCACTGAATTCTTCCAACTCTCTAGCCTGTTATTCTAAGCAGAATTTTTGCATAGTGGAGCACAAGTTAATTTCCATATAGCATCCTTCAGGTCTTGTCAGAAACAAAGATATATATCTATATTTAAGGTTGTTCACAATATTTGCAACCTCTTTGTCATCACACTCAAAGGCCCTGAGTAGCATAATGAAATATATGGTCAATGCAAAACTTGTACTAAGAGTGCAAGGAAAACATTTCAATGGCATAATTCTAGGTGTAACATTTTCGCATTCTGTGCATGTACAGACACTGGCATTGCCACTAGTTCAAAAGAGTGCTTCACTGTGTTTACAGTTAAAACAAGTCATGGTCTTCAGCCCATCGATCGTGTGTCTGATATAATGCTGATCCTTTGATGCCACCAGATAATACTCACTTTTATGACTATTTTATATGTATCTCAAGAAGGATATTTGCTCAAGAAAAATGCATCTGCTGTGGAAGTACACCATATGGCTGCATTGCTAATTAGGTTGAAATCTTTGACTCCTGGTGTTCAGCAAATGCATAAGACTACATTCAAACCAGTAAAACCATAAAGCAATCTTTCATTTCCTCTCTGCTCGCATCCTCATGAAAAACAGACCACAGGATTTTTACCTGATAATCACCTTAAGTAGTGGATACTTAGCACATGGTACCTCTGGAGCAGTTCAAGGTGATTTTATTTGATTTTATTTCTGCCGGAGAGCAAATGCCCACTTACCCACCCACCCACAGACATCAAAAACCAAACCAAAAAACTGGTTCATGGATGCTTTTTTTCTAGATTACTGCAGTGCAACTGCTTTATAGAAAAATTTTCTCCCAAGTGGCCAGAAATGGGCAGTGTACAAAACCGAATCAAGTTATGCAACAGAGAAGGTAAAATTCTTTGCTGGGTTTTATAAACAAGGGCCTATTTGAAGAAAAAGAGCTATTTTCATAAGGGAGTATTTGATGGTAATTTATTAGAAAATATCAGGAGTTTTCATTTGATCACATTTTGTTTTGACATTTGAGGTGGGTGCTCTCAGTTGCAAACGCCTGTCATAACGCAATCCATAGAGAAGGGGATTGCAAAAATGTCACTCGGCAAGGTTATTAAAAGGTAATAGCTGGATTCCCCACCCATTGATCCACTGACTTTTCCTAAAAAAGAATCATTCAGATGTGCTTTCCCTTGAGCTGAGCATGTATCCGGTTTTCGTTGCAAGCTTTTCTTAGTTGCTCTGCTGTGACTCCTTCAGCCTCCTAGACACCCAGAACAGCAAATCACATCCCAAAGTGCCGCCCAACATAATGTAGCATTATTATTATTTTTTTTTTGTAGGAAGCAAAAATGACATTTAATGGCCTCATTGTTCATCATGTTAATGCCTTTGACACGGCTGAAAACAGGGTTTCTAATGAGCACCCAGGCAAATGTGTGCAGGATGCAGTTCTGCCTTGGTAACTGTACATTTCAGCTCCTCTAATTGCATCAATAAGGAATGTGGTCTCCGTGTTTAATGAATGCCTTTTGACTACTTTCTGGAAGGCGACTGCCTGTGAGGAGGGGGCAACACTAGCATCTTTTATGCAAAAGCACACAAACAGGTTTCAGCTCGGAGTGGCCAACTCTGCAAACTCCATTGTGTTGTTACACAGTGCAGTCAGCTCCTTTCCTTTCGGCTAGCCCCTCTTTTATTCCCTTATGAAAAGTATGATTCCTTCCCCCATTCAGTAGCCAAGCACTTCAGCTGCCCCCACACCCAGCGACTCAGGATGCTGCTGTAAAAGCATTGGCACCGAGCAGAAATCAAGCATTCTCCCAGGGTTGCTCCTGCAGCACCTATGAGTGAGTCCTGGAATGCATATGAAGCTACAGCATGCCTGGTCGCTCCACACGGTGCCCTGGGATCAGGTAGTGAATTTCAGCACTTAAAAAGCACGGTACTGATTCTCTCCATCGTTATTGTCTTTCTAAAAACAGCTCCAATGTAGGAAACTACTTTTTTTTTGGCAAATCAATACTGCATCTTGCTATGTGAGAAGTTTTCTACTGCCAGGGCTGGGGAAAGGAATGGAATCAGAACAGAGGCTGTTCTATCGTCTTCCCAAACTTGGTGCCTTCTGGATAGGTCAGATCACAGCTCCCATCATCCACAGCTTGCTGACTGAGGATGAAGGGGCTGTAGTGCCTCCAAAGGCACCAGACCCAGGAAGGCTGTGTGGAGCCTGAGCTTGAGCTTCACCCTACTGTGCAATCTTTTCTATTGCAAGGGATTTAGGGAGGAAGGGAGGCAGGTTAGAAGGCGGATATGGCCAACATAGGAGCATGTAACGAAGAGTGACAGGGAAGGGTGTGTGCCAGGAAAGTGGAAGAGCCAAGTCCCCTTTTGCCACAGTGGCCAGAGTTCCACCCAGACCCAGCCCCTCTTTCCTGGACTTGGACATCTGTATCAGCCTCTAGGTTTCAACATCGCACAGCGGTTCATACCTCACATTCCCGGGAGCCTGCCTTGGTGTATGCGCAGGGTCCTGTCCCGTTCAGCAGCATCTCGCTGGTCTCGGTGTTCGTCGGCTTGTAGTCGACATAAAACTCCTGCGTGGTGGGAGTCATCTGCTTCAGCGACTGCCGTTTCTTTTTCCTGTGCCGTCGCATGAGAGAGCGCTGTTGCAGCTGCTTCATGCTGGCAGGGTACCGCTTCCAGGACACATAGATCACCAGCAGAATCACCAGCACGGACAAGAAAAGGGCCACGCTTCCTGCGATGATTTTGTGGAAGGAGATGTGTTCTGTGTCGTGCTCAGGCGCCGGACTGGCTTCGGTGGCCCCGACCGTGGGGGGCGGAGGCGGCTTGCTGTCATGCTTAGGCCTGAGGACTTTGGGTTTAAAGGTTGGCTTTGGGAGAGCCCGTGGGAATTCAAACCTCTCTGTAGTACTTTTGCCACAGATGCTGAAATTTTTCACTGCATCAATAACGTTCACCCCTTGCAACTCTTTGGGGCTGGCACAGATAATTGTATTTTCCCTCAGCCCTTTGAAACTTTTGAGCCAGTTTACCAGGGAGCAAATATTTCTGCTGCATTCCCATATATTTCCAGCAAGGCTGATGTCATTGAGAGAGATCCAAGAATCCAAAATCTCTTGACCAATAAACGTGAGCTTGTTGGAATCCAGGTTCAGGCGTTGCAAATTGGGCACACACTGGAAAACGCTAGGTCCACTGAACGCTTCTATTTCATTGCCAGATAAATCAAGTCTTTGTAATGAGCTCCAGGTCCAGGACATAGTTTGTCCTATAACACTGATTTTATTCCATTGTAAATAAAGGTTCTGAAGGCTGACAAGCCTCGGAAAAAGTGCCAAGTTAAGCTTAGAAAATTGATTGTGCTCCAGATGAAGCTCTTTCAGCCTGATCATGCCAGCAAAGACATTCCTTGCTAAGCTTCGGATCCTGTTGTAGCCCAGGTCTAAGAGTTCAAGGTTCCTACAGTCCTGGAAAATTCGGACAGGGATGGTTCTCAGGGAGTTGGACCGCAAATGTAAACTCAGCAGCTTCCTTAAGCCCCTGAATTGTTCAGACCCCAGAGACTGCAGCTGATTATATGACAGATCCAAGTTCCGGAGATTCGTCACTGGTCTGAAGGTGTTATTAAGAAAATAGGCGATTCTGTTGGAACTCAGAATCAACTCTTTTAGCCTGCGTATCCCATTGAAAGCATTTTCATCAATATTGCTGATGTGGTTATGGTCTAGATAGAGCCAGGTGAGTTGATTTAGACCTTTAAACTGATTGTATTTTAGCTTCTGGAGGCTGTTATATCGAAGGGACAAACCTAAACAACCAGCCGATATACTTGAGGGTATCTCCTGTAATTTCTGGGACTCGCAATATACCATTTTGCCTTCGCACCTACAGCCCTTAGGGCATCCACGTTCAGCAGATGAAAGCATTGTCAGTAATACAGTAGGGGCTATTACCAGGGCTACAGCTGATCCGCTCAGTAGCCTAAATACATTGAAACCTGGAAATAAAAATAACTTAGAAAAGTTATCCCCCCAAAAAACCAATCCAGATCTAATTCAATCAGGCTCAGTGCAGCTCCTGAAATGCTTAAGACAACCCCAGGAAAACAACTTCTTTGCAACCTGTTTTATTCCCCCCACCACACACACACACACACACACACACACACACCCCCACCACCACCACCACCACCACCACCAACAGCAGCAGCAGCAGCAGCAACAGCAGCAGCAGCAGCAGCAGCAGCTCCACCATACTTTAATAAGAAAATTTAATAAAGACATCACACACATAAGCTAGGAACAGTCAAATGTAATCTCCTGGAAATTTAACTCCAGCAGTGGTTTGAGCACTAGCAAATCATTAAAATAATTAATGCAGAATCAGTGCAGGGAGTGCTGTAGGCTAACTATGAATAAATAAAATGGAAAACATACCCATCCTTTGTGTTTTCAAAGGTCGTCCTTAGGTCTTTTGCTTTTGCTTAGGGTGCCACAAGCATGACAGCCCCTGTCAGCTGCTCTGTGGTGAGTCAGGGCTTGCTGACACCCGGGAAGAAAAATTGGACCCCTTGGGAGATGGACCGATTTTGGAACATTATTCTTTGCCAGCCGTGCAGAACACCCCAAGAATAAATAAATCCCGGCACAACCGTTGCAGCAGAATGTCAAGTTTTCCCTAGGTGATAGGATCTTCATGGATGGTGCGTTTCTGCATCTTTACATTTAGACACTGGCTTCTTTAAAATCTCCCTGGGCAATGCATGATAGATTCCTCCAAGTGATGCTCAGCTGCCTGAATTCAGTCGTCTGTATTCCATTGGGCAGCCGTTCTCGTAGTGAGCACCCCCGACCCAGCTAAGGAAGCTGCGTTGGAGCACAGGAGCCAGGATGACCCCGTACAATGAACAAGCACTGTTCACTTCTGCGTGCTGTCATTCCGAGAGCGCTTCCCACTGTTGCTTTGCTTTCGGTGAATGCAGTCTTATGTAAAGCTGCCCCCAGTGGCGAAGAATATTATGGGCATGTGCCGAAATGCCTCCCTCCTTCCTTTTTCCTCTTTCCCTTTTTCAGACCTTGGGAACGAGCAAGCTCTGTGCGGGGAAATGAGTGATTGTTCTGGGTGACTAAATCAGAGCGCACTGGTCAGCCCCTTGTGAAATGGTTGGAAATTTCCTTGGGCTTTTAGTTGCTTTCCTCCACCCCTCTCCGCCCCACTATGCTTTCAGGAAATTTAACAAAGCTTTTTAAGCCCAACATCTGCTGCTGGGACTTTTGCCTAACATAAAAGCAAGAATGCCACATTTCTTCTCATTTAGGTGTGAAAACAGCACGTGTACACACCCGTGCACGCAGGAATGGGATCCCATGTATGCACAATGAATGCAATTGTACACTGCTGGCATTACTTTGTTATGTAAAACACGCCAATCCTTGTTATTACCTTTGGCTATTCATATGGGAAGAACTATGAGTAAACTGGTAGGAGCGGTTAACTGCTTTTTGACTGAGATCACACCGGTGTGCAAACGGCAGGCACGTGATCACTGCTTGCCCTCATCGGAGGATGATACAAAAGCGCCGCATGCATCTTCCCTAGCCTTGGGGAGCTACTTCTGCAGCTCTGGGACCGCCCCCCCCCCCCCGCTTCTTTGGAATATCTACCGTCTTTGGTAGATTTACGGTGCAGCGAGCCCTGTTCTGGCAGGACAGCTGGGACCCATCTCTTTAGGGGGCGATTTGGGGCTGCTCTTCTCTGGCTGCTCTGCTGAACTTTTTAATGCTGGTTTAGATGATGGTTGAGTTCACAGTTTAGGGATGCTGATTTTTATTTTCGTAAGTCTGCGCACTGTCTTTGTATGCTGACTTGGAAACTACCTAGAAAAGTGGGTAATAAATTACTCAAAATGTAATATGATAACAACAATATTATATGAGCTGTGGCTAGCACAGTAACACACTGGACCTTTTTCACTCCCTTTTTGGGGCCAGGCTTCCCCAGATGTGTCTAGTTGGGGGACAGAGAAGGTGGCCATTCATGAATTGCCTGCCAAAGGCGGTGAGGAGGAGGAGATCACCAAAACAGAGGGCACACTTTTGCATAAAATATGCTTTTGCTAATTTACACATATGCATGCAAATTTAGAAATAACTGTTACAACATGAGGAGAGATGCGATAAATCTCACCATAGTGCAGGGAAGCTGTGGTCAGGTGTTGCATGTGCCTGCTGGCTCAGGAGGCTGCTCAGGTGTGAACTCTGGAGAGGCAGCAGTTCTTAGGGTGATTTATAAACCGGAATTGGCTGGGGCACAGCTTGGAACTGGGGATGCTCCTCTGGCAGTTGGAGGATCATCCTCTGTGAAAGAGGACTCATGTTGATCTGTCTGCACAACCTGTCCTTCGATTCAGATGAAGAAAGGAAATACGGTCCTCTGCAATTTGTGGTCCTATTTGGGAGACCTCGGGAGAAGGAGCGAAGTGCACTATGAAATGCGGCTTTGCCGTCTTCTCTGGTGTCTCCTGCTGTATTTGCAAACATGTGGAAAGAGGCACATCTCTGCATTCTCTTCTACGTGGGAAATTTATCGTAGTGCTATGATGCCTTACACACTAGCAGAATGCATGATATTTATCTCCAGTCTCTGCAAGTTTTGTGCATACACATGGGGAAAAGCAGCCAGAAGGGCTGTGGCCTGCGGATAGATTTGATGGGAATCGGAGTTCAGACAGTGAAGACAAAGCAGTTTTGGAATGTCAGCAAATGACACTATTATTCCAAGGTCAGGGAATGTCTGTAGAACAAGCACCATTGCCCCAGTTGGGTGGGGTGGTGATTGGTCGTCCTGTGGGGATGGAGTGATAGCTTGGGAGTGGAAGATGACGAGAGCTCTGATCTGCCAATGGGAGAATGGGAGGCGGGTTCAGGGTCTGCCCAGGGTGTGCACCAAAACGGAATAGTCTGTCAGATGTAGAGGCCCCTCCCCCAAGGAAGTTTTCTGGATTCTAGAAGGCAACACAGGTGGGAGATTCAGTTCTCAGAGCTTCAGGAGAGGTGGAGACAGGTGAGGAATGCCAGTGTCCTGCCCCTGAGCTGCTGATGGAGAAAGTCTCTTAAACAGGATGAAGATTACGGGAGGCCTCAGAGAGGGTTCAACATTTTACTCTGGGTCAACTCAGAGATGTTTGATGAAAAGGACATGTAACAGTAAAGCACTGAGAAAAGGAACTCTGAAGCAGTGTGTCAACTCAGGAGAAGAGCCTCACCTTACAACAGTCAGTCCTGGGTTTTGGTTGAGGCAGAAAAATTATCCTACTGTAACAGTTTCTCCTTTTATTGCAACTTTTCTGCATTCTGGAACTTGAGTGTATCCTACATTTATACTATACATTTTCTGTAGAAGGCATGGCATTGTTTTCCCAAATAATGCCATGTGTGCCCTGACTTAGAGGATTTTATTTTTTACTGCATTACAAGTGGGATGTCCTTTTGGTATTTCTCTTTTAAATTCTTCCCGCCTCTGAAATTTGCACCTACACATGTATAAAGCGAAGTTATTTAATTTCTCCTGCATCAACTACTCCTTTGCAGATTTGCAGCATGGCTTCTGCAAATTCATTGGCCAAGCGGTGTAGTGCTTCATGAAATCAACTTGAAAGTCTTGATTTCCTTGATACCTTGGAACAGCTGAGGGTGAATCATGGGAACATTGATTCCTTTGAATAAATTGTGCTGGAAATGCCCATCCATGGACACAAATGAAACATAGTTGAATGTTGTGGAGAGACAAAACGCGTTCAGTTTGAGTACCACCAGGTGGTGGATCGTAACGCCACGTCTGGAAATAATGAAGCTACATAATGCTGCACACATTCTTCATGGTGATGCCACAATCAAACCAAGGTGTGCTAACTGAATTGTGTGTCCACCAGTTCTGCCAACCAAACTCCTGGTCTCAGGGTTTTGAAGAGCTTTTCATGGATGACATGACTGCAATTGATGTTGAGGACAACTTGGGTGTAGATGAAGTGGTTGAATGCTAGTCTGTCTTGTCCATTCCTGTATATCAATAAACCTTTCAGTGTTTACACATTAAGCATATTTCATTCAAAATCCGATGGTACAAATGACAATCCTGCGAGGAACATGTCTGGGCAGATGTTGAGTGAAGGTGTTTTGTAAGTGTTATATAAGCAAATGCCTGGTGTACTGCATAACCTACATTATCTTCATGGCTGCTTTGCTTCCCCACTTTCTTTACTATGATGAACCTCCACATGTATGGAAAGTAACCAGTATTGCAAAGTTATTTCTTGTCAAGTGAAACTGCCCTTCCTAATGACCACATAGACCGATTTTGGATGGTTTTGTGCTATGTTGAGAAAAATGCCCTTTGAAGTCCCTCATTTCACAATTTACAGCTTTATTGATGGGATACTTGCCAGTGTTGTGTCCACCACAGAAATGTGTGCTCCCAAAGACATCAGTTCATTAATATTTGCCTTCAAATATACCTTCTCCAATCACTTGTGAAATCAGCACAACAAGGTTGTGGTTCTTCTTTTGCAAAAGCAGCCCCACTTGCTGTGTGAGTGCGAGGAGTGAGGTGTGCAGATGCCATCCATGGACCCACACTTGCTTCTTCAGTAGAGCATTTAGATCCTCTGCATAATTCACCGCTGCAGCACGGATTCACACAGCATCGTTCACACCTCTCGCCCCCCTGCCCAGGTTCCCCATAACTCAATTTCTGCTTCCAGCGCTCTCAACACATGACCCATAATTTGTTTGATATTTCCATACTGTGGGTCACAGACATGCATCCTGATTCTTTGGTGGAGAGAGAAAGAGTGCAGGGGACCCTTTAACTGTTTCGGAATCTATCTTACTTTTTTGTCCATAATCACTGAAGATATGAAATGTGAACTAGGATCATGGCATATTTTCCTATTGCATACCAATTTTCTTTCCTTCTTTCCTTCCTTCTCCTCTTTCTTTCTCTTTCTTTCTTTCTTTCTTTCTTTCTTTCTTTCTTTCTTTCTTTCTTTCTTTCTTTCAAAGCTTTTATATCCCATCCTTTACAGTGTCTCAAAACATGTTGAAATAGTGCCTAGCAATTTATTTATCTTCATATATTTAAT